AGTCAGTAACGAGAATTTAGCATCCGTCATCAAGAAATAGTGTTAGAGATGTACGGAGATCTACTTACTCACAAAAAAAATGAGATTAAATATATGTATTATCAGGAAACATATTTTTAGTTTTCATTCTTCACTTTAAACTGCTTATGTCATAGTCTACACTTGATCCACACGTGAGAAGATCTCTGAAATTAGCTCTCAAAATGTCGATATGTCCGAAGAAAGTCTTTGAAGAGTAGATGCGCTAAGTATACAACAAATGCGCGAGTTTGTACATAAAAATCAGATTCTGATTTGAAAACCTCAAATTTATATACAAATTTCGGGAAAAATGTTATTTGGGCCAGATTAGCATTCTTTATAATAAAGCCTCATATCACCTCAAGTTTTGACCTCGTGCGGGGGATGCCTCTCTTACAATGTGTATGACTTTTTCTTTTTTGTGCGAGAAGTTGATGATAACAGGAGCTGTTCGTGTGAGGCAAGATTTTTGTAAGGTTTGTATAAAAGTTATTCATGATATTATTATTGATGAGCGCCACTCCAGAAAACGGGTGTGTCGCTCGGCGCTTTCGTATAGTGTGTGATATGTAAAGCTGACTCTGAGAATGAAGCGTATAATAAGAAAAGGGAGAGCGAGAGAATCATTCAGAAAATCGCACGCGATTGTTATAGCTCAACCCTCATGCTCAATTGTGGTGCGATTCGTGGTGCGGACGCCGAGACAGGCTTGATATTAGAACAATGTATGGCTTTCAGTGTGTTATAATCTTGAGAATTTTTTATGAGGCATAAATTCAAATACTACTGGATTCTTTTCCCTTGCAAAAAAAAATTCAAATAACTAAATAAAACACCGCACTTCGTTGGTTCCAACCCAACACCTACTCTGCAACGCTTGCCAGAGGATGACCTCAATTAAACACACAGTCGTCGGATATGGTCCAGAATCTTATAATCCTCCTGAATAGTGTCGGTTGTCTACTGAGTGATACGTACACGTATCACTATCACATCGCCTCCTTCGTTACGGGATGTGATAGTGATATGTTTGCGTGTAGTATGGGTATGGGAAGAAAAGGAACGATGGCTGAAACGAATAGCGATATTGATCGCGTTTGAATGTGCTGATTCACGCCATCCAACGTCCTAGCGGGGAGCGCGTTTGTCCACCGCTAGCATGCGACGAACTGGGATAGTAAGTCTTAGACGAATTTTCTTTGCATAATTTAAGGTACTTCGAGAAGATGGAGGTGGTTTTTGGATCAACGAGGCTCAGTCCTTTCTGAGTGAAGCTCATTTGTTCTCAAACAATTTGAAATGAATAAGTTAAGTAAGTATGCAAGAAATAAAAATAAACCTAAATAAAGCTGCACTATAGTTTTTACCTTTCTCTTTCTAGGGCTATAACTTTCTTAATATTCAAGCTTTTGCGCCGACGTTATTTGAGTTGGAAAATTCAAATTATCCTCTCTCCAATCGTGGCCAAAGTACAGAATTTGAGCTTTTTAGAAAGTACCCGAACGTTCTTGAAAGTCAACAATTCAAAAAATAGCCTCGCTGCGACTTTTTTTTGGAGGGACTTCTCTTGTCCTGAAGACAAGAGAAATCCCTCCAAAAAAGGTTTTTTTAAGGTTTACTGGCCGTAACCTCCAGGGGAGCAATTTCGTGTTGAACATAGGATGTGTTAGAAAGCTTCGAGCATGCGCTTGCACTGACATCCCTTGCCTTGGTGTGCGCCACGCCTCGGGCGCGCTTCTGATTCGCTGATTCATTTGAAAGCTCATTTAGAAGGAAGCGTGGGTTTATAGATGCATAATATACATATACATAAATAATGCATTTTATAACTATTCACATACCAGTTTCTGTGCTGCGTTTGCTCTTTCTCTCTTTAACACCAAATTCGACCCCTTCCCCGTTGGTACTTGTGGCAACATAGGGTTGACTCTGGCGGGAAGCGTTGCAGCGAGGGTCGATGGTTGCAGGTTCGTAATGGATTAGCGCCCTAATCGCGCGATTTGGGCACGAAGCTGGCATGATCTATGAAGGTACGTACCCCAAAATTTCCATGTGGTATCCTTCCTTCTAGTCAGACTAATCCCGGGGTTTGCCTTTAAGCTGTAGAGAGCAGGATCAAGGCGGCGACCAGCAATTTCTTCGAAACATTCACTTGTTATGTGGCTAAAAAATGCACTGAACGTCATTTCTGGCTCTTATTATATGTTAGAATTGTGGGCACGTCTTACAACTTCTTACACGTGTTCGAGTAGCGTTCCCCTGTCGTCATCAGAAATTGAACCTTCTTTCAAAGCTAATCTTTCCAGCATGCTTGGCGTATGTGAATAACTCCACCTTCATCTTCAAGTAGACAAAGTGCAATGCCCAACTAATGATAAGGAACTAGGACGAAAACAAAGCCGTTTCACTCGAATGGCCCAACCAGCCTCAGCAAAGTGTTTTCGTCTGCAGAATTTCACTATCTGTCCCATTTCCCTTCATATATTACTTTTCCTTTGTTGAGCACAACCATGCGAAACAGTTGTGAAGAAGACAAATAACAAAACATAGCGGGAAAATTCGACAAGATTAATAGACTAAGACATAGGCTGGTATACGTAACCTCTGACGTTGCACTGAGTGCACGGCAATGCACGTGTCATGTTTCCGCATGTGTGTTCGGAACCGTTATCGTTTTTTCTGCTTCTCCTCAACGAAGAGAGTATCCGTCACGGAACTCGCGCATCTTCGGCCGTGTACTGTACGTGGCGCTTTTTACAACATCTTGACTTTTCTGAAGTCCGAAAGCAGCATCATGTGAGATCATCACTTTCAACACTTTTAGTGAGCAATGGTGAAACTGCAAAAAAGGTTCGTCAAGCTGTAGTCAAAGAAATAAATACAAAGAAAAAGAAATACAAAAAGAAATAAATTGAAGTAAACTTGTGTTGGAAATGTGATTCTGCGGAATGCGCTGAATTGTTATATTTGCAACATCAAGGGAAAAAATCTGAGTTTCAAACGATTGGCTGCTGATAATCGCAAACTCTCATTGTATCATAATATTTAGCATTTGTTGAGATTAGATCACCAGGGTGCTTTTACTGGTGTGATATACAGGTCAACTGATGCCTACGAAGTTATACACAGATAGCGGTCATAGGCTGAGAGGTGGCTCCCAGACAATACCTAACCATTTGGGCGCGGCCGCGGCGAACGCGGCCGAGTCGATTGTGCCCGCGAACCGTTGAAAACGCACTCGAGGTGCCCGCGAACTGTGCTGTGCTGAGTTCGCGGGCACCTATCAACTCGGCCGCGTTCGCCGCGGCCGCGCCCAAATGGTTAGGTATTGTCTGGGAGCCGGGATGGCATACTGATCTGTTCGCTAGACTGTCCTATTATATATGTACTGTGTACGCTATGGTGCTACACCTTCGCAGTACTCGGAGAACTGTTCAAAAATCGCTTACGGTGTGGTCGTCATGCTGATGTTGATGATGAGCG